TCTCGGCCACCGGATCGGCTAGGTATAACCTTGTGGCAGCTAATTTCATAAATAAGGTCATACAACTAACACAAAAATTATATTATAATAATAATAATGGGGCAATAATTAAAATATTGGTAAATAATAATACTGATAATAATAATATAAAACTGACTTATTCATAAGCATTAAGTTACATTAAGATGAAGAATCTTCTATAATCTAATTACGCAATGAATGTGTAAAATTTAAATTGTAATATTTGTACAATTAAGACTACACTGCTCTGCACTTCATTTCATTTCTCTATGACCCTTAAATCACTGCCTTCGTTATTTCTCTGCTCTGCATTGCTCAACACCTCACTCCACTATATAACACACGCATCTCGAAATAGAGCGCTTTTGCGTAATCTTTAACTACTGCGTCTACTTTCTCGCTCGCGTCAATTTCATCTGCTAGGTCCTGAAATAGCGTGAATATCTGACTTTCGCATGTGTAACCACTCCTGAACTCCTGTTGGCCATCACAGAGCCATTTTTGATTTCCTATTCTTGCTTAATCTAACTCGCAACTATATGCTCCATTAATTTGCAGACCACTGACGTAAGACTTACCGGCCTATAATTTCATAAAATGGTTTGGTCATCATTTAAAAATTGGTACGACAAAAGCTTATTTCCCATTTTTAGGGACATTTGAATTGTTCATGGGCACGTAAAATATTCTAAGGTATGGTAATATTGCCTCTCCTCCTAATATAATTACATCTAGTTGTGTTTTCTATGTGACAACTAATCTCTCTAAGGAACTCTAGTATACATGATTCACACAATACAATTTTATATTTTAGTGTGAGTCAGCGAAGTCGTCCCTATGCAGGAAACCGAATAATATTATATTTAGTTGGGAACCTGGCTCTCTCGTATTCTTTCGCCAGTCATTGGATTTCTGCTACCTAGTGAAAAAAGAATACAGACTTTCAACAATGTTGTCGCCTCGTAACATTAGCAATTATTTGTCAAAATGATACTCGGCGAACCCAGTTCTCCTCCGTATATAGCATCAGCTATCTAATACACAAAACACACACACACACACACACACACACACACACACACACACATATATATATATATATATATATATATATTATATATATATATATATATATATATATATATATATATATATATATATATCGTTGTTATGTTTTCTCATTCCTTGCGAAACACATTCAATTGTCTTTGCTTAATACGAACATTCATTTAATAATTTTTGCGTTATTCCAAAATAACGTTGAGTTCGTGCGACTGTTTATTTCCTAAACATTCCTTGTTTACTCATTTACTTCTCACAGGTCTGCTAACAGCACATTTCCTTGGATATTTAGAAAGCAGTAACTCCTTACTCCTCCACCATTGCACCTTCGACTGTTTGTTTCTTTACTCAAATACGTCAATTCCTGTTACTGTGCCCAGGTTATTAATATTAGTTGGAGCGCTTTCGAATGGACCGGCACACATGGGATGTAAAAAAATTATTGCTTCTTCGTGCAACGGTATTGACTTTTTCTTCTTTCTTTTTTTTTCTCTTTCCTTCTTTGTTTTTCTTTCTTTCCTTATTTATTTTCCTTCTTTAGGCGCTTCTTCATCACATGTTTCTCTCAAATCAGCATTTTCATATCGTCCGTATAACAATTACGTTAATATATCTATCACTCATATGAGTCAAAATATTACTATTTTGAAATTAAATTATATATTTATTGTGAACTATCAGTAAGTTGATATTACTTTTTGATATTAGGTCATTGCTCTTAGGGTTTCTGCGTGATTACGTGTATACGTTCTGGTGGAAGTTAAATGCCATAGATGTTTGGCAGCAATAAATCTGAATAGTCCTTGAACAACATACCAAATAAATATGTCCTCCTTGTCGCGGGTATGTGTTTTTGTGTACATGTTACTTAGATTGCATATTTGAAGTGTGATATAGAACAGTATACTAAGATAATGTTGACAGCTTAGAGTCAACATGATCAACACTACTCCAGGAGCAACTAATCAAAATTTGTTAACAAAATAAAGCAATGGAGCAATGGTTGTGTCACATAAATTTATTAGTGCATGTGCTTTAAATAGTGTTATATAAAAAATTTCTCGAAAACTCAATCGTTTTCTGTGAATATTGTACCGAATTTCCGTATTTTCAGAAACGCTATAACGCCAGTTTTTCAAAAAGGGCTCCGTAGATTAATATGACGTAAAGGTCATTTCGGGGTATTTTCCTGTTGTTGTTTTTTTTCAAAAATTACACAAATGTAATTTTTTTAAATATCTCTCACGCCGTTAACATGCACGTTTTTAGCAATTCGTAAACACTATTGTATTTGTGAGTTTTACTGCTTTAAATTATTTTAAATTATTTTTGAAAACTCAAAACTTTGGATTTTCAGTACCAGTAAAACGTCATTTTCTTAAAAACGGCTCCAAATTATTCAAAGGAAAATGCCATTTATGGCGATGTTTTACTATTCTTTACTATTCTTAAAATAATACTACTAATAACCTTAAAATAATATTTCCGTTCTACAATTAAGAAATCGAAAAATTAAGAAAATTACAAAAAAAAGTAGTTTGGGCGGCGATAGATGGCAGCTGGCAGTGGCAAGTTCGTATAGCTAGCCGAGAACAACGAAAGTAGAAATCTTATACAGGAAAGTCTATGCCATTCTGTGGCACCACGAGTTTATATAATTTTTGTACCCGTATTCATATGTACATACACGTAGTATATGGAAAGTTATGTAATGCTGCGGAAAATTGATTTCGAGATTTCAACCAAAATACACGTTTTGGCGTCCCCTGATACCAAAAATGTGTTGGTTTTACTTCAAAATATCGGTCCGTCCGTCTGTCTGTCTTCAGCCTGTGAACACCACTAGCGTCTAAACGTACTTTTTCTTCCAAAATGAATCTTCCCTGGTTTAGCTGGCTTCACTCCAGGCGCTGCGATTTTAAAAAACTTTCTTCAAAATTTGGGAAACTTTACATGACGCCCCCCGAACATTTTGAAAATTTTCTCAAAAATGGCTCCAAATGTTTTCTTTGAATTTCTTGTGAGCAGAGTAAAATACACTTAGAGGTCCAATTTAAACGATTAACTCCGAATTTTCGAAAATTGCAAAAGTTTCATTTTTTTCTGCGTCTTCCTACAACTACAAAATTAAAGATAAGAGATTTTTCCTTCATATAAAGTTTGTTGTCCATATTTAATTATTTTACTAAGGTCATGTACATTTACTTAAAAATATCAGTGTTTTTGCGTAATACTGCGAGCTATATTTGCAATTTTAAAAAATTACAAAAACAATTTTTTTCTAAAACGGCTCCAATTATTTCTTGAAATTTTTGCTGGAGATAGTATTTAATTCACTCTAGGAGATAATATAAACGCCATATTGCTCTATTCTTTTGTATTTTCAAAAATTAAAAAAATGTAATTTTTTTGACTTGTCTCTGACGTCGATATTTACAATATTGGCAATTTGTTCACATTATTACATTTATGGGTATATAATACAAGTCACTATATAATGTCAGATATAGTTTCTCAAAATTTGAAACGTGTTGTGTGAAAACTAGCTCGAATTTCCGCATTTTCGAAAACGCTCAAGTGCAATTTTCTCAAAACGGCTACAATTTTTTTCTTCAAACTTTTTGAACAGAAAGTAATAATTTCACTCTTTAATGTGATGTACTGTTCAGCTCAAGGTATATTTTGCTTTTTCGGAAATTATTCAAATGTAATGTATATGAATGATCTCTCACACCATTTCGAGATATTTGTAAACAGTATTGTATATATGACTTAAAATGCTTCAAGTAGCGTCTAATGCTGTTTTTCGAAAACTCAAAAATTTTCTTTGAAAATGAGATTCAAATTTTAAATTTACAGTAGAGCTTAAGTTCCATTTTCTTCAAGTCAGGTCCAAATTTTTCAAGAAAATGCCATTTAGGACGCAGTTTTACTGTACTTTAATATTCTTAAAATAGTATTTCACTTCTACTATTAGGGGACTGTAGTTTCTGCAGCACCACTAGTTTAAAAATTTCTACTTTACAAAGTATGAAATAATATTATATAAGGGCTTCCAGTAATATCATGTATTAATACTCCATGTTTTACAGTTTATTACACGTACTTTAACATGTTTATTATTTGAACTGTCGTCAAATCTTGGGATACGACAAGACCCCTGGTAGAGAACTGGATAGAAAAAAGCAGATGCGAGGATTGTTATCAATTGTTGAAATAGCAAATGTTGCATATCAAATGTTGAAAAGCTCAACCTCGAAGTTTCTAGAACGTGCAGAGAACAATGTTTTACTAGAGAGTGTGAGACGGGAGGTTTTGCACGTCCTGTAGGCGCAGAGAGAGCGCAGGCATATCTACTGTGAAAAGAAACTTACTCAAATAACAACAATTTGAGTGCAAAAAGTACTAGAAATAAACATTTATAGAATTTTTATTTTCCTTCATTCAATTTAAATGAATGTTTAAATGTATGCTTAAGTGCTTTATTCAAATGGCAAGGATTTTGAAAAAAATAGATTGTTGAATATTGCTTCTTGAACAAAGCTTCGAAGAAATAAATTTGAATTAATATGATCATTACGTTATACGTATTTTGTTGAATTTTGGTATTGAACAAATTCAAATAATTTGCGATATTTCTTCATAGGTTTTCTTTGTATTTCGCCATTTTTTCATGTTAAAAGGACCCTTGAACTTTCAATGAAGAGTAGATCAATATTGAACCACATATTTTTTTACTGCTTTGAACAATATACTTTTGATCCTTCGCGAATATAATCTAGGTTCATGAAAAATATTATAAATGAAAGTATTTGGTAATTCTTGAATATAATACACTAAAAATGTTGTTTGTTGTTTCTTCATAATTTAATTTCAATAGATATATGTAACTAAAATATTTCATTTTATATTTGTAGATTGCATCAAAGCAACACCTCACCAGCACTCCTGAGGAACATGCAGACACACAATGCGGGCTGGGTCGTTGGCGACCCTCATGGTTACAGCGCCTTGCCAGCAAAAAGGCATACTTGATTCTGCACGGTTTGATAGGTTTCCACCAGATAGCAATGGGATCCTACATGGTCGGCACTTTAAGCACTATTGAGAGGCGCTTCAAAATACCAAGCAAAACTACAGGTAAATTTACTAATATTACAAGAATATAATTTCGCATAAAAAATGTATTTTTCTCAAAAAAGCTATTTGAGGCAACTTACTATAATGAATATTTTAATTAATGAAAGTATTTGTACCATACAAATGATAAAATTGATACAAATATTGTTTGAATAGTATAATTAGGCCAATCATATGAGATAATATTATGCTGATCTGGTGGCCGAGATCGCTAAGGCAATAGTGCTGCGGCGACCGAAGGATCGAAGGTTCGTAAGCCGCCTCGAGCACGAAGACTGACAAATCGGGACAAAGACATTATCGTAGGAGGATAGAATGCCATTAAGTTGAGAAGTCATTGTACATATGAACAACATGTAAACAAATTACATTGTGCCGCCCAAAACACTAACATTATGAACTGCCACTCTGATACAACATACCAACCATAAGCAGCGAAATTAAGCCTCTTGGTCTTCACAAGAACTTTGCTGGAAAACACACTCGGTAGTGAACTTGCATGAAACGTCATGAACAGGACTTCCACGCAGACTCATGCCAAAAAAAGTCCCTTTCACCTTCCTTACTTTTTACATCCCTCACCCTCTGGAAAATACGGCTCAGGGCAACAACTGATGTCATTTCAGTCTTTCTGTCCGGGGGGTCCTGGGTTTGAGTCCCGATGGTGACAGGAATTTCGACATTATCTTGACAGTAAGGTCGAAATCATTCGCTGCCTGGAGAAGAGGCTGGCTATTCTTATCAATAGTTTTCTGTGGTTTCTCCGATCAACACCAAGCGAATGCCGGAGCAGTACCATAACACGGATCGCGCACGGTCTCTTCAACCTCTTCCTAAATCTATCCTCACACTCACACACACACACACACATACTAACATGCATGGAACTATCACACCAGTCTTGTTGTGGTGGTCGTTGGGTGCAGACGTTCCTTTCGAGAGCTCCTGAGGATTAGGATGGGTTCGTACCTGCAAGAGTACCGGGCGCGCATCGACGCGTGAGCCGGGCGCCTTTCCTCGTGTGCGGCGCGCGCGTACCAGGGACCGGCCACGTGGCGCGTCGGTGCAACGGTGTTTGCTATTTTGCTAGTGATCGGGGGAATCGAGCAAAATCCCGGTCCAGTGGCCAGTACTGCGGCTAGTGCGTGTGAAAAAATAATCCGAATCGTGTGTCGTGGGTGCGGCAAGAACCTCTCTTCGGGCTGGCGATTGGGTCTACAAAAGTTGTAGTAACGTTAAAAGAGGGGATGGTGAAGGATGGGTTTGTCCCAAATGCAAGGTTAACTATGTGTAACGTCTGGAAGAACAGCTGAGATCCGCGCGAAGAGAAATCGCAGACCTTAAGATGGTTAATAAAGTTCTTAATGAGCAACTGGCGGAGTTGAGAGCTAAAATTGAGACTCCACCCGAGACTGAACCTGCAGATGAGAACGCTAGTGGCTCCTGTCTTGTATTAGGACACTCCATAGTGCTACACATGGCAAAACAAGGCAGCAAATTGCGCATGGAACGTTTGCCGAGCATCCGTACGGAGCAATTGAAGCGTTTTGTGGAAAATCACGAGCTCCCAATAAAATAGTATATTAAACGAGCGAGCAAGTTGGATAAATTTTTATAGATACATAAAACGAAAAAGGGATAACAAAGAATCTATTCCTCCTCTTAAAGAAGAAAACGGGAAATTTGTACTAACAGATAAAGAAAAAGCCGACCATTTTAGTGCATATTTTCAATTGGTATTCGGGTTAGGATCGGATACTACCAGTAATTTGGGAACAAATGAAGTAGAAAAATTTGAAGTACAACCTCAACTCATTAGACAAAGAATTCGCAAAATAGATAGTAATAAATCCGTAGGGTTTGATGGTATCACCGGATAACTATTAAAAATTGAAGGGAAGTCGATGATTACATACTTGACGCGATTATTTGAAATAAGCATAAATAATTGTAGCGTGCCTCACTGTTGGAGAAGGGCTATAGTGGTTCCCATATTTAAAACCGGAAGTCGTTCTTGCATTTCCAATTACAGACCTGTAAGCCTAATGTCATTGATTTGCAAACAAATGGAACATCTGTTGGCTGATTTCTTGCGTCGGGAATGGGACAAATTGGGGTGATTATACGAAGGGCAACATGGATTTCGCAAATCCTTCTCTTGTGAAAGCCAAATTATTACGTGTCAAGATATTGCTGAAAATTTAGATTCGGGAAAGAGGGCAGACGCAATTGTTATAGATTTTTCAAAAGCATTCGATCTTGTTTCGCACGATATACTATTTACGAAAATTGCATCTACGGGAGTTGACCATCGCGTAATAACATGGATAAGGGAATTCCTGATAAATCGGGTTCAACAAGTTCGAGTTAGACATGAACATTCAGAGGAAATCTTAATTACGTTCTGAGTCCCCCAGGGAAGTGTCTTAGGACCGCTGTTGTTTCTGGCATTCATCAACGATCTCCATCTTATATTAAGTTAGTAATTCGTTTATTTGCGGATGACTGCATAATTGATCGGCGTAAGATTCGGATGAATATATTCTTATACTTCAAAACGACCTAAATAACATTCATTCCTGGACTACCATTAATAAAATTAAGATAAATGTCGTAAAATGTAAATCGCTAAATTTTACGAAATCAGAAAAGAATATTCTTTGGAACACCAAATGGGAGGTGTATTCATCCCACAACTATCGTGTTGTAAATATCTGGGTGTTATATTATGCCGAGACCTGGAATGGAGGGAACACATTACTTCTATTGCCCGAAAAGCGTGGAAGTCACTACATTTTGTAATGAGAACACTTAAAAGGGGAACGTGGATAGTCGAAAAATAGGATACACATATTCAGTTAGGTCGATTCTTGAATACGCATCAGCTGGATGGTACCCATACAGATAAGATCAGATTGAAGAGTTAGAAAAAAGAAAGCAATCAAATTCATAAATAAGGGATTTTCGAGTAATTCAAATCCACCAAAACCAATAGAGGCCCTCAATGCGAAGGAAAAAGCCAGGGTGTGCTGCCTCTTCAATGCGTACGGTAAGTCACCTGCATTGGCAAAAGTAACGAAAAGACTAGGCACCCCTTCAGGAGTTGGGAGAAATGATCACTAATGCATAATAAAAAATAGAAGTCAAAGATCCGACGTAGGGAAATATTCATTTGAAAAACGTACGGTTAAAAATTGGAATGAAATCTCTGCAGCAGACATAGAGGCTTTATCTGACTCTGTTGATGTTTTCAGAAGGCGACCTAATACAAATACATATAGAGGATGTATTTTACCGCATAGAATCCATATTTCAAGTGAATTGTAGCGTATTATAGATAAAGTGTAGTGTAGTGTAGTGCAGTGGAAAGCTACCTTAATTACTTATATGGCATAACTAAAGAAAGATATGGTGATAGTGTAGTATAGTGAAGTGAACTGAGAGAGTCGGAGGGGAACAAATATAGATATTTAAAGAGCTAACGTAAAAAATCCACATTGTGTTTCTATTTAAAAAAGAAATTGAATAAGTGGTTAATTTAATGTATATATGTGCATGTTTACTAGGTGTAAACATTATGTATTACAATTGTAGCCAAATACACATTATTATTATTATTATTATTATTATTATTATTATGTCGGGAGCTTAGAGCTTGTCTCGGGTGGGGCGGTGCCCTGCTGGAAAATCTCGCTAGTTGACTATAGGTCCGCGCCGGATCTCGACATACAGCGGGGGAAGATCACTCCCACCTCTGGAGCAAAACATGCACCACACATACGGGGCTAATGATCCTAGTAGTTGACACTCCCGGAATCATTAACTGTCAATCAATCCCCCACTCCTTTTTCGAACCCTCTTACCACCTCTTCTGCAATTACTACTGTTTCTCCCAATCTCTGGGTAAAAATGAAGCAATATATAGTAATTTCAGTCAGATGTAACAGAAAAACATTCGTGTAGATACTTGATACATCTTACTTTGCATCTACAAGCCGCCAACAAATCGAGCTTCAGATTATACTACGTACTTAAAAAAACTAAATATAACTTTAAACTAAGTCAGCAATTGCTCTTCTGAATCCATTATTTTATGCGCAGATTTTAACTTTACTAGTCGAGTGTTTCTTCAGTTTAGATAAATGTAACTACATAGACCACACTAAATTTTAAGACGGCAATCAATCAAATAACAATTAACAAAAGTACTACCAGATATGAAATTTAAACGATAGACGACCTTGATACAGTTTCGTTGATGCACAAATTCTTTCAGTTACAAGAAATGCAAACACGGTCGTTATGGAATAAAGTCTGTATTCCATGGCAACACTAGTTCTATAAAGTAGACACGGGCAAAACATGCACTCTGTAACCAATATAAAGCACTTTCCTCTATGTATTGTAGGTTTAATTGCTGGCGTTTGGGAATTAGGGGCATTGACCTCATTGCTCTTCGTGGGCTACTTGGGCAGGCAAGGGCACAAGCCGCACATGGTGGCGGTGGCTACGATTCTCATGTCCATTGCCTTGCTGGGGCGGCTGCTGCCCCACTGGGTGTACGGGCCAGGGCAGGACGCATTGGAGCTCACCAAGGAATACGGAGACGCCGCTCTGCTGCTAAGCAACTCTTCGGGTGAGTGACACAGCTGCTTTCCTGGGTTAAGCAGGATAAGCAGTTATAGCAGCTATTTTAATCTGGAATTATATGAAACATCTTTGAACAGTGTTCTTTACATTTCATACATGTATTATCCTTGTTTATAGATGAATAGCAAATGAAATCTAAAATAATCAGTGAAAAAGAGAAAAATACATTACATAAATATTTGATGTTTCTTTCTTATGCAGCGAAAAATGTATAAACACTTGTCCATAGGGACATTGAAAAAATTTGGGGAGCTGAGAAACGACCATGGTAGAAATATTACGACGTGTTTTCGGACCCCAGTGCAAAGTCGGTGGAAGTTTTTGATAAATATTCGTGGGTCAGTCATTGTTTTTGAGGTTTCAGCAATCATTCTTTATTTCTGATTGCTGAAACTCCATTTCACACATACACACCATCTTAAAACAAGATGATTAACAAGAGCAGAGGGAACTTGAAATAACTTAATTGTTACGTTGATTCAAATACTGTGAACTCATCGCGAAGGAGAAGTTTTGCTTTCAGTCAACGGATACCCACAGAGTTCAAAACGAAAGGTGTAGTTGCATGGGAATGGGAGAGGATTCAAAGAGCGATATCTTACAGAAGTTCATCTCGATTTGCAGATCAACTTACGCATGTTCATGTCCTTGCTTCTGGTACTCATCCCTTTGTCACGTCACGAAGGAAACGTGTTTCACTCGTTCCCTCCGAGATTGTTTGTCAACGATCAGTGTCACGTGTTGAAGGTTCAGAAAAACGATATCAAAATTTAAACACAATTTGGGCGATGAATTTCCTACAAACAATAACAGCATTGTATCGTCTTTGCATTAGAAGCTGAAACATATATTTGTCATTTCTATTACTCTAAACACATATTTGCCATTCGTATACTATTTATTAGCTTTTGTATTTTGTATGTTCACTTTTGTGTTGACAGCAGTATTTAAGAAGTTATAACAACAGAATCCCGGTAAAATGTGAATGATTTTAACACGTACGAGAAATTAGCCTAACATTTGTTTGTACTTGTTTTATTTGATAAATTATAATTTCTTTTATAATATTTAGAAATACAAAATACTAATTTCAGATTTTTATATAATTCTTAGACTACCTATCGGTTTCCCAGAGCTTTTGGTCATCGGAAATATATATCTTTCTGCAGACTATAAATTAGCTTTGTTGAAAAGCATCAATACCACTTTACCTGATCCATTGGGCAAATGCTTGCGCTTCTTTATTCTGAGGCGGGATTTTCACTTGTTTGTGAAGATAAATATATTTTCACTAAGCGCACATTTTGGTAGCTATCCTTTTGCACGTTTTGGTAGGAGTAGAGCCGGGGACATGGGTTGCTATTTTGTTAGCAACCCTAAATAAAAGTAAATCTGTATTCTTTTATAGATTGAAATACATTTTCTACATTTTCGGGAGCAAATATTTCAAGTTTTAACGTGTTTCTAATCTCGAGTTACTGATCTATTTTTATTCATTCAACTAACTACAGTAAAAAGGTGAGAAAGGGTTTTTAAAACTCGATAAACGCATATTTCACTCGTCCCCATACGTCACATGAAGATTTCTTAAAAGAAATCAAATCAAATAAATCAAATCAAAACATATTCGATACGATTTACTCTCAATTTCTGGACCCATCTCTCGGACCCTAAAACTCTAGAAGACTAATATAAAAACCTAAGGATTTGCACCTTCGCGTTATCAGGTGGCGAAACCAGCGCCAGAGGGTCCTTGTGTGGGACCATAGGATCTCAGGATGAAGACGACTGCTCCAACAGCGGGTCACTGGGGGCGCCCGCGATTATCCTCTTCACCACCAACCTCATTCTCGGCGTTTGTTCCTCCGTGTATTGGACGTTGGGCTTCGCCTACCTAGACGACAACACGCACAAAGACAAGGCTCCATTGGTACTTGGTAAGAACAGTTCTTTCCATGTTCCTTAATCGGAGTAATGAAGTCGAATGCACAAACAACTTGAGAGGACATGAAATTAGAAGTGAAATTAAAAGGAACAAGCATGAATCAGGATAGGTTCATCCCCCTCACTGTCTGTCCAAATACTTCGTGACAACCAATTTTCACTATAAAAGAAATTGTATAACACGCGTCGACTTGCGATGGATGCAACAGAGAGATATGTCGGTTCGGTTTGCCACTTCGCAAGGGCTTCAGCGTACTACTTCCAAAAGCCCACATTTGAAGATGACACCTGACATCGTGAGTCAACCACTGCCCTTGGTTTATCCTCGCGTTGATTTAGCGAGATTTAGTTGAAAGAGACGACTTACAATGCCAGTTGAATCATTGAACGTATTCCTCCTATCCGGCCTTAAAGCTTCAAAATTAATTTCCTCTTCTGGTAAATTTAATTTAATTAATTTAATAAACTACTGCTCCCTATTGATCAAACCTTTTTCACATGACTTTATTTTCAAAATTGACAATTCTACCAATCTGTTCCAAAATAACGTTTGTTTTGCTCGTCTTTTCACCCAGAGCAAACACAATTTTCTACTGAAGTCTTCTACCGTAACATGCCAATACATTTGAAAAAAACATCCAATCTCTTTCAATATATGACGTATGAGTATTTTATGGCGAATGCTTAGTGATTGATCCTGTAATAATTTATTCACTCCTCTTTGTTAAAAAGATTGTTGCGTTTATAGAGGCAATACGTCTCCTAACTCCTTAAGGATCGTTGAGCGCACCGTAGAGTTATTAAACACAAACACAGGGAAAAGGGATAGGGGAGGGTTTAGGACGCTTCATAGGGGTGAACCAATCCAGAACCTCAGTGGTGAAAGAAACGTGACTTCACCACTGAGCCATGAGAGCATTTGACAATGAGTTGAGCAGGTAGTAAGACTTGGTGGATCAAAACAACAGTTTTTTAGAAACACATCTTGTAGGTTAGCTATCGTTTGGTATTGTCATGTCAGACCTCATCAAACTGAAACAATTTTCACAATAAATAGTATTTGAAAGTTCCATTGAGGCAGCCGATAGAAACACGTCGTCCACCTACCGCGTTCAGTGAAACCATTGTTGATTTCATATTGTCATTCAGACTGTGAACTTAGTGACATTTACTTTGTGGTAATACTCTTGTTACATAAGTTGTGAGTGTCTGAAATCAACTGCATGGTCAGCCGGTGCAGCGGCTAACCTGCTTAAGCAGGAAGCTCCCAAACATCGGGGTTCCCATAACCTCAACACCGCCACCTCAGGTATCTACTCACTCAAATCAGAAAACGTACGCAAATGTCATGTCAACTGAAGTGTTTCCTACCAAGAACCAGGCCATAATTATCGACTCGCAAAAAAGTCTCCCTAATAAAGATTACATAAACAGTATATCCGACATCACTGACGCTAATGAAATGAGGTTTTTTAAAAAATTGTTGCGCCTATTTAAAGACGCAACGAGTCTCCTAACTCCATCAGTAGCGTTGAGCGCACCGTGGAGTAATCCTCGGTTTATTAATCCCCCAGCACCCTCTAGAGGCCGCTGGGTAGTCAAGTCGCAGTTGTCAGGGAATCGCCGATAGGTAGTGTCTTCGTGCTTGCGTTTCATACGCACCCTGCGTCAACTCCCCATCTGCCAGAATTGGGAAGGAATAAGGATAGGGGTAACGTTTAGGACGCTTCACAGGGATTGAACTAGCCCCTGTGAAGCATGCAAACTCGTGTTGTAACAAATTTCACATGAGGTTCTACGGGGATTCAACTGTAATCGAACCCGGAACTTCAGTGGTGAAAGGCAAGAGACGTCTCCACTAGGTTCATATCAAGAATTGTAAAAAACAGAGTGTGTATCTTTCTAAGCTCTCAAACTATAGCTGACAACCTTACGAACAACCATAAAGTTATTAAAACCAAAACTATGAAATGAAGCAGAAACCTCTCGTAACAAAGGCCAAAAGAATAATTATATCTATCTATCAATCTATTTGGTTCATCATTCTACACTCGGTAACAGAGAATGTACTCACTACAAAAATATCAATTGGAATCTAAAATTTCACTTGCAAAAGCTAGTAGTCCTGAACAGGGGTTCTCCCACAATATGTTTATGTAGACAAGTGTATGTTGCCCCTGAAGACGACCCTGAATCTACTACTGTGTATTATGATAGCTCAACATACAGAATTTGTTTTAAAACACATTAGGGAAAAATCCTGTGACTTTCCAGATCCAGCAATCAACGGAAAAAACACTTAAGCTGCAGATATTCAAAGTCACAATGACCCTACACAAAATACCCACAACTGATATCTCACCACCTTCTAAATCTATATTTTCTACTAATGAAGCTAAAAGTACTGAAGAAATTCTAACTAATGACAACATAGTTTCCATTAACACCAATACAAGATGCCTCCAGACCGACTCCTCCTCACCCTCCACTGTAAGTAAAACAATCTGAAACAAATAATATGAAAGAAGTCTCAAAACAACCAAAAAAGAAAAAAAAGAAGAAAAATAAAAATATGGAAGAGTTGGAAACCCCTACGAAACTCATCATTGAAGACCCTCAAAATAAATATTCCCTTACTTATATACAGTTCACGTTTTTAGAGAATTATTTCAGTGCTAATTATCCTATACTCACACCAGTCAAAGAAAATTCTTCAGTGTAATGTAAATGGCTTTTACCCCGGACTAAAAGTATACAGTACCTATGTAACCTAACACATCTTGATATCCTTTGTATCCAAGAGACCAACTTCAAAGACTCCATACTTTGCAATATCAAAGGATATATTTGCTCCTTCAAAAACAGATCTCACACCAATCATACTAGTGGTTGTGTGGCAATATTCACCAGAGATCATATTCCATTTCAAGAAGTGATTATTCTATTAAACATTGAAGTTAGTGCTATAAGGATCCTGTCACCTGTTCGAATTAATATATGAAGTATGTACCAATCAAATATCCTGAACAAAATACAAAAAATATAGAAAAATATTGACGAAAATAAAATAAAATACAAAAAGATGGGAGTTGCTACAAGAACAACTGTTTCAATTTTATCATTTCATAATAATGTTAACGAATCATGGGCAAAAATAAAAGCTACCAAAGGAACGAAGAAAGGTAAACAAATAACTTTGTTACTGTCTAATAACCAAATTGTTACATACCCTAATGAAATAGCAAATTCAATTGCTTGTAGCTTTGCCAAATACTCCAGCTCAAAAATCTATACCGGTGCCTTCTTACAGCACAAAAAAGATCAAGACAACCTTACAGAGTTTACAAATAATGAAGATATGGCAACTTATCAACCATATTAATGATCCTATTGGAATTGAAGAATTTAATTCTGCTATCAACAGGGCAAGGAACTCCTCACCTATACCTGACTATATTACATAGTTGTTTTTTTAATATATCCCTATAAGGAAAAGAAACTCTACTAAAAGTATGAAACATAATATGGGATAAAAATGGTTTCCCTGAAGTGTGCAGGTCAGCTATTGTTATTCCTAACCAAAGCCTAGGAAAGTCCCCACAAAAAATCAAACTTACAGACCCATAAAAGCTGCAAGTGATCTCGTGGCTCAGTAGCGAAGTCGCTTGCCTTTCAATACTGAAGTTCCGGGTTTAATTCCCGTAGTATATCCCATAGAACCCATGTGGAATTTGTTGCGACCAAACGAATTTGCATGCTTCACAGAGGCTAGTCGAACCCTACCCCTATCCTTATTCCTTCCCAATTCTGGTCGATGGGGATTGTGAGGGTGATTGTGAGACGCGAAGGCGAAAAAGCTACCTATCGGCTATTCTCTGACTCAACTGCGACTGACGTTACTTCACTTCCCAGCGTACCCCTAGAGTGTGCTGGGCGTTTAATAACGGAGGATTATTCAATGGTGCGCTCAGCGCTCCTTGAGGAGTTAGGAGACGCGTTGCATCAATACAACAAATTTAAAACAAGAACATGCAATATGTGCAAAATTCTGGAAAAATAATAAATATAACACCTAGACTAGGACTAGGTTTCTAGGCTTTTAAAATACCATATCCAAAAACCAATTTGGTTTCAGAGCAGGACACTTAACTACTTCACACCTACTTACATCCAAGAAGCACTTGGTAACAAACAACATGTTTGAGCAGTGATCCTGGACTACGAAAAAACCTATGACATGGTCTGAACCCCTAGAATATTGACGCAATTGCAGGAATACTAAAGTTATTAATAATAGAGTTGTAAAATATGCAACTACAATTACCAAATATGTTAAAATTAACTACTGCAACTACTCTAGTACTACTGTAGCTTAAATATCTTCTTTAATAGCAAAAACGTCACAAAACTAAGAAATAACGAAGAAATAAGCTTTTTACTTAAGACCATCATCAGCTTTTTTTAAAAATGTCAATTTAATTTAACATTCTTGTTATTTTAAAAGGCTCGTGGCTAGCTCTTGATCAGCGTGCTCACTTTCCACTATGCGACCTCGAGTTTTCGGTCGCTTCACGATTATAGTGTCCGTTTTCCCTGCAATGTCTCAGTCTATGTTAGTGTGTGACGATGCGAAAATGCACTTCTCAAAGATGACCGGAATACGGCATGGGAATGTCTACGTGCTAATCACACATACCCCTTTTATACCATGGCCGCGAGGCAGGAACGTCGCCGGTAGGCCTGGCCCCGTTCACGGTCTGACGCGCCAAATACACACATACAGTTGTTTAAAAACTGTTACGGTTCAAATGAGAGTTTGCATGAGCAGTCGAAACGTTAGTTGAAAAGAAATTATTGTGTTTTCTATTAACAAACTGTAGAGTTTTCGATCTACCTGGTCCTATTACTTACTCAATTCTACAAACACCTACTCCTGAAATGATGCTGCAATGAAAGAAGCGTTTCAGCGGCGACGTCGTGCATCCGCCTGCTTGGCCCCACCTGCCGGCTTTCGCTGGCCTCGTACGGCCTGGCGCGGTACGTGCACTTGGAACGCTTACCCCCTCATGCGACCAAAACGACCCTCGATGGAATCGGCGCCTGGTGGATTTGGTGAGGCATTGCAGCTGGTATCAGAAATATGATAGTTGTGTGAACAACCGCTCAAAATACTCGTCATGTCCAAGTTGCTCGAATTCTAGAGGAAGTGTCCCGTTCCGATGTGACAGACAATTAATTATCGAGTGCACTTGGACACATTTTTGCAATTGAATTATATTTATCGAAATTACTGACCAAATATTATAACCACAAGGATATATTCGCTTTCGTCTGTTTCCTTCAGCAATTCTCAGAACGTGGATTATTCTGCAAATTAAATTCGCCCTGCATTATGCTTTAAAATTGTAACATTTATTAAGGTACCGCGTCAATTTTCATAGCTAATACGGAGGTGAAGAATTACAAAACAAAAAGACAATACCCATACTGGAAAATCTCAATAAATAAGTTTTGTCATTCCATAGCTTTCCAAGACAAATGAATAAATTACTCTCGATCTTGTAATTGCAAAGCAAAGACTAGATCATAACTATATCGTAGGTATCTGAAAACGTATAATGAACGGCGGTGAGAGTCATTTAATTACTTGTACCGTAATTATGAAAATTAGTGTTTAATCAACAAAACGATTAATAAACAAACGTTAACCCGGTTTCATTAGTCTCTTCTATATTCATTTACATGAAAAAATACGAAATTTGGTCTGACTAGAATGCTCGAAATTTTGTGAACACAAAACCCTTAGTGTTTCAAATACCATCGATTTGAAAATATAAAAGAATAAAATCACAGAACACCGAGTAGCTACTCCCAACATGTCGTCCTGGCGCAGGGACTGCCGCCCGGGCTGGCTGGTGCTGGCTGCGTTCATGTGCTCTCCCGCGCAGCTTCCATCTGCGCCGCGAGCGCCGGCTACGGCGCGCTCCTCCATCTCCCACGCCGCCCACGCAGCAGCACAGGACGTCAGGGTACTGAGTGGCACTGGGCCGGTTGCTGCGAAGGGTCACTGAAAAAGGCTTTAATTAAACAGGCCAGAACAGAACAAAGGGCCCTCGTTGATTAGCGTGCTCGCTTTCCACGGCGGAATCGCGGTTTCGTTTCCAAACGGAGGCAAAAGTATCACTGTCGCTATCCTTACAAATGTCCCAGTATCTATTGTTGTGTTGGAAAGCCGACTTTAAAGTTATGAAGACCAGTATGTGAGGGATGTCGTCGTGCTCGCATGGTCGGCTAAGGCCCGTATGTCGGGTTGTCGATGCAAAGGACAGGTCAGGGCAGAACAGAAGAGAACAAAAATTCTTAACAATATACTAGCGAAATAAATTATGTTAAGGAAGACTATATTTACAGAATGTATTGTGATGACCTGCGGACTATCCATCACGGAAAGGGGGGTGTACCATCACACGCAAAATATATTTGTGGGCACCAAGTGTGCAAATTACCATCCATCTAGCGCCGGAATTGACCACCTCAGTGGCAGACGCTCTTGGTCGAACGGATGCATACTTTTTCTAATCTACTTTCATTAAACAAGCTAGTGAAGTGCTTTATTAGTGTTGCCCATCTGAGTAGGGAGAACAGAAAAATTACAATGAAAAATTACAAAACCAAACTTTCGATATAACTGTTACCTGGACTATTCTATTTTTTCTTTCATACTCCAATTCTCGTATGCACACAAATTTTCTCTTTATGGAGATACCTCGCCTAGAAGGATTGCATGTACACGGGTAGCCTGACTGACCAGTTCTGGACGTGGCGCCGCAGGAGGGCTCTGCAGCGCGGACGGCCTCGCCCCGGAGCGGGAATGGTGTGCTGCCATGGCACGAGCCCAGGGCCTCTCCGTTACCCGCAATCTTTTCGTGTTGACGAGTCTCGATGTCGATAAATGGCAGACGGGGCCGTCAGACGTCACTCCTCTGTTCTTCGTCAGCCGATATGATAGGCTGCGCACACATTTCAGCGTCCTATTGATGCCGGCCTGACTGGTCTGTCGGACGGAGTTAACCCCGAGTATCGACTGCTGACGGGCGGTCGAATTGTATAGGCCGTCAGGCGCTGACCATTTGCTTTTGCAGCTGATCTCGTGGCCAAGTCACGTCTGCATCTCCCAAGTGCCTTTTTGCAAGACCTTTTTTCGTTTGTCTGTCCGCTCCTTCCTTGCTTCCTATCCCCTCTTCTCTAGAAATGCCAAAGCCTCTTCGCACGAGTAAAATTTTAAATCTAATTGATCATCTTGTCAGATTCTAGAAGTATCCACGGATCTCGACCGTGGATCGGAAAACTCCCTTTTTTCAGAATATATAATTGGTTGGCTTTATGCGGCCATGGACGTGTGGAGACGCTGCGGAGGCAGAACAACAGCTCGTTTCTGCTGTCCCTCTGATGACTTCACGACGCCTCCTTTGAGATTAATGCGCGGGGGCTATTGGGCCCCCTAACACGACTGCTCCGGTGCTTCGTCGGACAATCGGCGGGGGTTGGGAAGGGCTTTGGGAGACGATCCGTCGGGGATGCCCTGTGGTCATGGGCTGACGGAGCCAAACTGCATATGTGCACCGCTTTGTGCCTGATATTTCAATTCCCGTGACAAAAGCATGAGTTGGTGCGAGCGGGAGTTGATGAGACTCGCCGCTGTATTGTAATGCCTGTGCAGTTCCAATGCTGAATCCTAGCGTATCAGTTGCTTGTTATTGAGAAATCACAAACAACCGAAAACTCGTATTAAAATTGTATTTAATGTCTTTACATTTAAAAAACGTACATACTTGGCTGTATATTTTATTAATTTCTAAACGAGAAAATGGACATAAAAAAGATCTTACTAAATGTGTAGTGTAAATTCATTACCCAAGTGAGCTCCGGAAATATGTTACTTTTCTTGTTGCTATAAAATTAAGGGAAGTGTCGCAATAAAATACTGACCCGGCAGTCAAGAAAAGTAGCACAAAATTGAAATAACGCGGTACAAAAATAGGTTTTAAAATGTGGTTCCATAACTATAACACTTTTCTTTTCGTAATATTGAAGTTACAAAAAGGAAACCACCACAACTCGCCACAACTCGAAATGCCTCGTTCTTGTTGATCGACGATATACATAATAAAGCAGATGTTACCGTTCTGTTTCCTCGATGTCTAATAAAATTATTTAAAATAAAAAGACTATACTTCCCATCAAATCAATAAATTACAAGGTAGAGTCTCAAGGTAGAGTTTCCGTGTTCGCGTGGGTAAACCATGCGTAATTATGAACGGCATGACCTCAAAATTCTCATTTTTGTTTTATTTGTGTCACAGTACTCGTTGGGCTACGAAGTGTATTCAAACCTCCGACTCCTCGCTTTGACAATGTGGAATCAGAAATTTTCATATGGCTATGCTTTTGCTATTATACAACCACAGCATTCAATTTATAAACGCAGAGAAAGGAAAACTCTTATTTTATGTTAAAAATAAATGTTTACGTACATAATTACATTAAGAGAGTAATGGAAGGAGCAGTGATATCAATGTACGAAAATAACTCAATTTTAGATGCTAAATTCGTAAACAAATTTATGCTAAAGAAGTTTGTTACAGTAACACTCTTATTGGCATAAACTCACTAAATACTTATTTTTAAAAAGAAATGTCTTTTTCACTAACAGAAGAGTTATAGGTTGAAATCGAGGAAAGGGATGAAATGTAGTGGTAACCCGTCGAAATAACGAGACAAAATCTACATCTCATATTAATATTTCTTAATAATGCGTAGTAGAACACTATACAATTCGTTTAATATAAAATTTACTGGTTTTTATTTCAAACTTTCCTTTATTGTATGTAATAGGTTCTTCAACTTTGCTCCGCAATTCTCTTGGGATCCGCGAAGCGATTTAAGGAGACTCTGAAGGGACTAGAGGGCTATATAGAGGGCTCGGTCTCATCTGTTCAGGGTTGTGCCGCCCTATCGGTCGTATTTTATTATATTCTTAATTCATTTTTGAATATTTCTAAATGTTGTATTATGACATGTTCTTTATAATAAATGTTTGTTTGATTTTACTAATTTAGTTACTATAGTTGAATCTCACATTACCTTTTCAAACGAACTCCTGCAGCATTTCTCTAATCACCAACATTGTAAATCCCTATATTCGTATTGAAAAATTGTGGCATTTCAAGGTCACGAGCTGAAAGAAGATGTGGACATTGTCATCCAATCGGTAATTTCGTTACGAATTAAGTGTTTGGTATTAAAGCACCCAATTGGATGACAACGTCCCATTTTCTTCGTGACCTTGAAGTGCCACTATGTTTGAACCAGAGTATATAGCGCGTCGCGGCCAGGGATCCTTCTGTCTCCACAGAGCTCGACTTTCGTAGAGTGCAATTACCGCGTAGCGCGGAAAGTCCGCAAACAAATTGCAAGATCTATTGCGGAATGAGGCAATTTGGTTTCAGATTAACTTTTATTCTTAAATTAAATTACTTCAAATGTGGCGCTATAGGGGATGGTTAAATTATTACTGATAATTGGATGAGGCCCCAACTCCTTCCAGCCCGTGACCTTGAGGTGCCCTATGTTTAAATCGGAGTATAGAGCCGTCGAAGCCTTCACAGAGCTCGACTTCCGAAGAGTACCCGGATAGGCAGGTGACGCGGACGTTCCGCATAACATTGCATGCGCTATTGCGGAAAGAGGTAATTTTACGATTAATTACCATAACTTTTATTATTCAATTTGAATTCATTGAAATGTGGCACTGAGATATATTCAATACTATAGGAGATTGTTAAATTATTACCGACTAGCTGCACCCGTACGATTACATGCACAGAAGTGGTGAAGGGAAGTCAGCACAGAAAAAACTGCATATCCACAACATTCATTACATTTTGTATTAACAAAGATCTTTAAGGACGGTAAATATACCCTGTACAGTTTTCGTGCAGATTGTTCATACAGAAAACGTGCAGCCCAGACTGCACGATTTCTATCTGAAGGCCTTTGAAGACTTTCATAATATTTCGTGCAGAAAGCTTACAGTTTGTCTCAAGCACCTATAAC